AATAGCCCTTTGAAATGTACACACACACACACACACACACACACACACACCTATTTATTTATTTAAAATTACAGATGGGAAAACTGAGGCTAAGGCACATTGTATATCATGCTATAGATCATACAACTAGTAGGTGGCAGAGCCAGATATTAAACTAAGTAATCTGATTGTAGAGGCACCATGCTTAAACATGAGGTTTTACGGCACCATGCTTAAACATGAGGTTTTACCTCCTTTCATACATGGAAAAAACGGCTAGTTGCCATCCCACCATTTAGTTTCCCTGTCTTCTGAATCAGCAGAATCCTGGTCTCTAGGAAGCTAAGACTAAATTTCCTAGTCTCTTGTCCATTTACGGATATTCAATGAGATATGAGATATAAGCAAAAATTTTAGGTGAGAATTCTGGAAAAGGTACTTAAAGGGAGCTGACTCTGTTGGGAGAAACATCCTTTGTCTTTTTTTGCCCCTTTTTCTTCCTATCCAAAACTTGGAGGTGATGGCTGGAGTTTTAGCAGCCATTTTGGGCCATAAGGAGTACTTGAGTATGATAAATTTGTCTACTTCTCCTTTAGTTCATGTTTTAGTTTTTGTTTCACGTATTTTAAATCTCTTATGTGATACATGATAATGTGGGATTGTTATGTTCTCTTTATTATTTAACCCCTTTATTGTTTTAAGTGAATTTTTATTCTTGGTGTTTTAGTTTCCTAGGACTATAGTAACAAATTCCCACACAGTAAGTGACTTCAGGCAACAGAAAATTTTTTCTCACAGTTCTTAAAGTGTGCTCAGAGCCGTGTGCCCCTCAAAATCTCTAGGGAAGAATTTTTCCATGCCCTTTCTTCTAGTTGTTGCCAGTGATTTTTGGTGATTTTGGACTTGTAGCAGCCTAACTCCAATCTCTGCCTGTGTCTTGCCATGGCTATTTTTTCCTCTTGTCTCTCTACCCATATCCTTCTTTTATAAGGACCAACGTTATTGTATTTAGAGTCCATCTTAAGTTGACTAAATCTGCAAACATCTTATTTCCAAGTAATGTCACATTCATAGGTTATAAAGTGAATTATTAATTTTTTTTAAACAAGGGTAGTTTAAAGAGATAGAGTTTTATTTTTTCCTTACATTGAAGAAGTCTGAAGTAAGCATTTCAGAGCAGATGAGGCAGTTTATTGGCCACCAGGGACCCAGGTTCCTTTTATTCTGGAATGTTTCCTTAGCAAGTGTCATCAATTCTCATGTCAACACATTATCACAGAATGGCCCCTACACTGCTCGCCTTCACATTCCTATTCCTGGTAACAGGAAGAAGGGGTAAGGTCAAAAGCCACCTATCGTTCCACTTAAAAACAAACACACTCAGTGATTTCCATATACTGCTTTCATCATCTGTCTCTGCAAGGGAGTATTTCTACTATCCTTCTGTACAAACTAAAGGAAATAGAGTTTTTGAAACTGAGTATATTGTGGCCTTGCCAGTATAGGCAGCTGTTACATAGGAAGACACAGAAGATGGAGAGAGGATATTCGCCTAGCAAGCTTTGCCATTTAAGTATCACTATTCACAACAATGTATTTGTGTGATCACTTAATGTCTGATTTCCCTCTCTGAATATAGCTTGTAGAAGGCAGGGGTTGTTGTCATTTTTTAAAAAATCAGCCCCCATCATAGAAGAGTCTTACTAAATATTTGTTAAATGGAGTTTATTATATAATATGAAATTGCTCTCAATATAGTCTCCTCTTATACACTCTTCTGATTTGGATCACATAAAGCCACTCTTTGGATGTGTCCCAAAAATGGACACCATGGCCCACATGGGATTTAGCCAATGCAGATATAAATGCTTTTCCTTTTAATAAAAGACTCTGGCAGGAAATTGATGTGAAGGCATTTCATAGCTCAACAGTTATGCATTCAAATTTTCCAGTGTCTATAGAGTACCTGATCTACCCTCAACTGCTTTGGCATTCCAAGCCTGTCTCACATTAATATTCATATTGGTTTTCAAGAAAGACATTTGCTAAGTTTAGAACCTGCAATAACTCATGAGCTAAAAAAATTTTTAATTAAGCACCAAACTTTGTAGGCCCAGTTCATTTACCCTTGGCAGAATGAAGCTTTCAGCAGAATAGCTTATATAGCTGATTATAAAAGCTGTAAGGGTTCCCAGGACAGAAGATGAGTCCAAGAAAGAAAACATCCCAACAGTGATCTGATGATCTAACTGTAAAAGATTCAGATGTGTAATAGCAGATGCTCCTCCAAAATGCAGTTTTTAAAAGCCAGATGGAAAAATGGGAAAATGGCATGAGTCAAGCATATTCTGCAATTTTAACATATTTTAGGTTCAGTTGGGAAGGATTTAGGTGATGCTAAGCATGAAACACTGGTAAAGAATATTTCCATAAGTACAGAATCAAGGTCCTATGCCCAGCCTCTGGGGACTTGAATGCTCAGGCAGCCAAGAGGTTATCCTGGCCCACAGTGATTTTTGTTGCTTGAATTTATGAAAATACTGTGCTAACTAAAGAGATACTGAAGGTCGCCACTCAAATACTCATGAAGAGAGAGGCTAACGAATGGCATCATTTCTGCTAAGATATAATTGGTGACCCTGACAGAATCACTTTCATTTTCGTCATCTTAAGATCCTTGTCATCATGGACCATGAAAAGAGAGCCACCAGCAGGCAGAGTCTGAAATAGGACTTCTAATGAAAATGAAGGAACAAAATGAAATAAACAAAATGAAACCTCTCCAAAGAAACTCACATCCAACTCATACTGATTGCATGCTGCCTAGATACGGGGCACTATATAGATGCTGGGGCTGTAGTAGTGGTTAAAACACATGGTTTCTGCCCTCAGGAGCTTACATCTGCAGAGAACCACCAGACCCCTAGCCCAAATTTTTCATTGTTTGGTATAGTGTATCTAACACAATAAAATGATGAAAATAGCAACAGAGCTTGTAAAAATTACCAATGGAAGCTGCTTCCCTAATGCCTCTAAGGGTGGGTTTGAAAGCTAAACATCCCATTCATTAATAAGAGCCTAAGACTCCCCAGCATAAGCAGATGCCTATAGACCCAAAGGTTTGTTCTTGTTAGTTTGTGTCAGAGGGGTTCTATTAATTCCAATTAATGATGTTATTTTAGGGTGCATATGTGTTGGTCGTATATCTTCTTGAGAATAAACTGAATAAGCAAATCAACAGACTTATTGGCATTCTCGGAGCAGTCACCAGCAGACCTCACAGAGACTGGACAGAGAGTTCTTTTGTTCCAGGGAAAGATTTCTGACATTGTCTAACTTTATTTTCTGTTGACAGAAGCTCCTATATTTTGTAACTTTATAAAGCCATAAAAAGGAAAAAAAATGTTACTCCATAGGTGCTGTGTTCAGTAATATTCCAATCCCAGGTCCTTCCATGAAAAGGACTATATGAACTCTGCTTACATCACAGGATGCTATATTTTCAGAGGTAGTTGTCCAGTCCCATCATAGGCCAAGATAAGCTCTAGCATCTGTCATCCACACAATTACCACAGCAGAAGATGGAAACACTATTGCTTTTTTTTTAGATGAACAATGTGCAGCAAGAAATGTCTAATGTTGAACAACCCAGCACTGCAGTGTAGGTCACTTGGGCTCAGATTTGGGCTCAGATTTCCAATATAGCAGTATTGGAAATAATAAATTCTTTGTGTAGAAGAAAGGGATAAAATGATTTCTCCCTTTTTATCAGGTTGGAAAAAGGCTCAATGTAATACCCTTTCAAAAGTAAAAGTCTAGATATCATTCTATAATGAACGTAGAAGAATATTGAAAAAATCTATTTTGCTTATTCCTCCAGTTATAGGTTCCACCACATACAACAGAATTTATAATCAGAATATGAAGGAGTGCACCTTGTCATTTACAAGGACATCCTTCTCATGAATGCAAGCCTACTTTAAGTATTTTAAATACCACTTTTAGTAATAGAGTTGGCTGAAGGCATGGAGGCACTTTCTCTGAGAAGACTGTTTCACAATTAACTGATATTTTTTTAGAGTCTCTCCAGCTGAATGTGGCCCTTCCCTTCAATAAATATTTTGGTTTGCGGTTTCCACATCCTGTGGAAAAGCCCATCAGGCTAGCAGACTGTAAAATTCAGGTCTGTGATTTCTCTTGTATTTACTCCTACTCAGATTTCTTTTCTGAATCATTAGAATCACAGCTTCTGAGGCTTGTGGGTTAACTTTAATGACTTCATTTCAGAATCATTCTAGAACAAAGGCTGTCCACTTCTCCAGAGACTTGCATATGAGGGAAGAGGGATTTAATATGAGTAAGGACACTGCTTTACCATGAAAGCCAGAAGAAACACCTAGAGTGACCATTGTTATTTAATATTATGATAGCTTTTAACTCACAGTGGTATTATATGGAAATATGTATCACATTAGTAACTGTGAGATGGGTTCAATGAACATTTGGGAAAAACCTGCCTTTCACCCCCTTTGATCATTATCTTTCTTTTTGGGGTTTATATTTGGAAAGAAATGTTTATAGCAACCTGGATAGAGCTTGATTATTAAACTCACAAAATATGCAATACAATTGAAATCAATGTTTAGGAATTTTTTTTCCTTCCTGATGAATTCTAACTGCTAGAATATTTGACAGGTAAATTAATGGCCATGATCTACATAATCCATGCAGCATTTAAATATCTCATTAGGCAAAAATAAGTCATGGATGTGAGATCCAGGTTAAGAGATGGTGCTGTGTTTTAAGTTGATTTACAGTTTGACAGAATAAATTGATCTTTATCAAGAAAAACAAAATTTTCAAAGCTTGTCTGTGATGAAGGGACACATTTGTTTGAAGGGAAGACTTGGGGTAGGAGCAGGGGCAGTGGGGTAAATATGACTTGTAGTTAGGTCAGCAGATGTGTCAGCAGACTTGTTAAACAAGAGGACTGAGTTTTTTAATGGAAATTTTTATTGAGAAGGCATTGCCTTTGAACCTGATGTGTCTTGTTTGTAGTTTCTTCACTAGCCAAGTAACCTTGTGAGAGCATAAGGACTTGTAACTGAGGCTCTTCAGCTCTCAACTGAACTGCTCTTTTAAAAACAAGTTGCAGGAGGAACTTAATGGAGGACCGTGGGGGAGAAGAAGGGGAAAAATAGTTGGGGAGAGGGAGGGAGGCAAACCATGAGACTCTTGAATGCTGAGAACTGAGGGCTGAGGGGGTGGGGGAGAAGGGAAGTGGAGTGATGGACATGGAAGAGGGCACTCTTGGGGATGAGCACTGGGTGTTATATGGAAACCAACTTGACAATAAACTATCTAAGAAAAAAAAAGTTGCATTTGGGGCACCTGGGTAGCTCAGTTGGTTAAACATCTGACTTAGGCTCAGGTATGATCTTACTGTTCTTGAGTTCAAGCCCTGCAGTGAGTTCGAGCCTGACATTGGGCTCTGTACTGACAGCTTGGAGCCGCCTTTGGATTTTGTATCTCCCTCTCTGTGCCTCCCCTGCTCATGCTCTATCTCTTTTTCTCAAAAATAAACACTAAAATTTTTTTTGAATAAAATAAACAAGGCACATGTAAGTTACTCCCTGACACAGACTACTCCCCTCCTCTGTGGGGACAACATAGTATACTTCTGTTTTCATCTTCCTTGATTGGCAGATTGGAGTTTAAGGGGAAAAAGAGAACATTTAGTGATTCTTTAGTGGCTACTTTATAAAAGGCATTCTGTGTTCCATTTTCTGTGGTCATGAAGGCCTGCAATAATGCCACGAACTAAAAAGCTTGGAACTGCAGTTATTGTATATTTTAAAAGATCTTTTGGTGAATAACATGCCTTGTTTTTTTTGTTTTGTTTTGTTTTAAATAAGAGCTGATATCCACCAACCTTCAAGATCCTCAGATTTTTAGTAGATTTTTTTTCTTCCAAGATTTTATTTAAGTTCAAGTTAGTTAACATATAGTACGGTATTGGTTTCAGGATTAGAATTCAGTGATTCATCACTTATATATGACACCCAATGCTCATCCCAATGAGTGTCCTTCTTAATGCCCATCACCCATTTAGCCCATCCCCCACACACCTCCCTCCATCAACCCTCAGTTTTGTTCTCTATAGTAAGAGTCTCTTAAGTTTGCCTCCTTCTTTGTTTTTCTCTTATTTTATTTTTCCTTCCCTTCCCCTATGTTCTTTTGCTTTGACTGGAAGATTTATTTCTAACTGCTAAGCTTTTATGGTGTTGAAAGTTAAATAATGTAGTTTGAGAGATTCTTTCTGTTGTAAAGGGGCTTATTGGAAATTTTAAAGACCTAATAATGTAACAGCATCCATGTCACTAATAAATGCTTAGTGCTATGGCTGCAGAGCCATTCATCTTAAATATTATTCTTGAAATTTTGTATCCCTCATATTAAAGCTCTGTTACTTGGGCAGAGGCTAACTCTTTAAACCTACTCTACAACACAGTAAGAAAAATGACTAGCACACTTGAGTTAATTTGGGGATTTAGGTATCATCACAATTACTTGGGAGTTTTCAGTTTATCTCTTAAGCATATGAAGAGCTAAAGATTTCTTTACCTGTGTCATATGTTTGAATGTGTTTGAAATATGTTTAATACATTTTATAATGTTTTTTAGAAAAAGAGCTTTTCAAAGAAATTTTTATTGAGGTAATTGTATTGTGATGTACAATTGTAAGAAGTAACACAGAGATTCTGTTTGCCCAATGATAGCATTTGTAAAACTCTGGTATAATATCACAACCAGGATAACGATACTATGTAACTATAGCTGGTTCTGTAACACTTCGTAACTAGAGTATAATATCACAAGCAGGATGGGGCACCTGGGTGATTCAGTTGGTTAAGCATCTGACTTCAGCTCAGATCATGATCTCACAGTCTGTGAGTTCAAGCCCTGTGTCCAGCTCTGTGCTGACAGCTCGGAGCCTGGAGCACCTGCTTTGGATTCTGTGTCTCCCTCTCTCTCTGTCCCTCCCCCACTCATATTCTGTGTGTGACACTCTCTTAAAAGTAAATGAACATTGAAAGAATATATCACAGGCAGAATAATGATACTTTATAATTCTAGCACTATACCTAGTTCTACAACACTATATGATTATAACCATAGTATAATCTCATACCAGGATAATGATACACTGATTTTAATCAGATTTTCCCAGTTTTACCAGTGTGTATGCACATGTATAAGTGTATTAAGTGTATGTAGTTTTACCACCTGCTTAAAGTATGTATTTCCACTACCAGAGTAAAGATACTGAACAGTTTCTATACCACCGAATCCCATGTATGTCCTTAAATAATCCACTACCTTCCTTCTGTCCACTGTGCAACAATAAACCCTGCCATCCACTAATCTGTCCTTCGTTTCTAAAATGATATCATTTCGAAATGTTATATAAGTGGAATCAGATGACATGAAGCCTTCTAAGATTTTTTCTTTTTTTTTTTTTTTTTTAATTCCGCATAATTCCCAGGAAGGATTATCAAGTTATTGCGTGTTCCTTTTAATAGCCGAGTAGTAGTCCATGGTTCAGGCTATTACAAATAAAGATATTGTCAACATTCTTGTTTGTGCGTGTGTACACACATAGTTTTTAAAATATATTTGGGATTGGGATAAATGCCCAAGAATGTAATTTCTAGATCATACGGTCCCTGCAGGCTTAGTTTGATAAAAGATTTGGATTTTTTAATTTACACTAAGAATACTATGTTTCTTTTTAATTTAATTTTTATTTAGGAAAAACACTTAACAGGAGATCTACACTCAAACTTTTAAGTTTGCAATGCAGTATTGTTAACTTTTGACACTATGTTTTAGAACAAATCTCTAGAACTTATTTTATGCAATTGTCATTTCCCTTTCCCCTCAGCCTCTCGCAACCATCGTTCTATTCTCTGTGAATTTGACTCTTTAAATACCTCAGGTATCTAAGTAGAATCACGCGGTATTTGTCTTTCTGCGTCTGGCTTATTTCACTTGGAACGGTATCCTCAAGTTTCCCTTACATTGTCACATATGGTAGCATTTAATTTTTTTTATTAATGCTGAATAATATTCCATTGTACATATAAACCACATTTTTAAATTCATTCATCCGTCAGTGGGTGCTTTGGTTATTTCCCTATTTTGGCTGTTGTGAAAAATGCTGCAAAGAATATGCAAGTGCAGATATTTCTTCAAGATCTTGACTTCCGTTCTTTTGGTTGCATACTCAGAAGTGGGACTGCTTGATCATATGGTCATTCTCTCTCTAAGGTTTTGAGGACAGTCCCTGCTGTTTTTTGCAGTGCATAACCATTAGAGGTGCCGACAGTGTACAAAGGTTTCCTTTCTCCATATCCTTGCTAACACTTGTAATCTTTTTTAAAAAAAATTGTGATAGCCAACCTAACAGTGTGAAGTGTGCTATTTGGTGGCTTTGATTTGCATTTCCCTGATTGTTAGTGATGTTGAGCATCTCTTTATGTACTCATTGTCTATTTGTATGTCTTCTTTGGAGAAATGTCTATTTAAGTCTTTGTCCATTTTTAATTGGATTATTTGCATTTTTTCATCATTGATTTGTCATTTCTTATATATTTTGGATATTCATTCCTTATCAAGAATACTATCAGGGTTTTAATGAAGATAACATTGAATCTGTAAATCATTTTGGGTAGTGTTAATTATTTAACAGAGTATATTAAGTCTTCCAGCTTATGAAAATGGAATAACTTTCCATCTATTTGCATCTTCCTTAGTTTCTTTCATTGATGTCTTGACTTTCAGTGTACAAGTTTTTCACCTCGTTAAATAAATTTATTCCCAAGTATTTTGTTCTTTTTGATGCTATTATAAATGAGATTGTTATCTTAATTTTTGGATAGTTTGTTATTAGTGTATAGAAATACACCTGCACTTTGTGAGTTGATTTTGTATCCTGTAACCTTCCTGAATCTGTTGATTAGTTCTAACAGTTTTTTGGTGGAATCTTCAGAGTCTCCTGTATATAAGCTCATATAATCTGAAAGCAGAGATAATTTTACTTCTAGTTGAAATGAACTAAGTATTTTTGACAGTCCATATTGTATTAGATAGGTGAAGATAGGCAGGCTTAGGAGTCATTTGAATATAAATTGGAGACATATATAGTTATCTGACCCTAGGGAGTAGCTAAAATGGTTAGTGCTTCGAGAGTAAGATATGCAACATCATATTGTGCTTGTCTTCATTGAAGACCTAAAATTTAGGTTTCCATTCTATCTAAAGTTGAAAAAACGCCTGGAAATTGAATACAACTAAAGACTTGAGCTTTTCATGTAATTTTAGATGGATGATAATCCACTGCATATTATGTCAGTAAAGTATAGAATAAAATCCAGGCCTCTTGGTCCAAATTCTTAGTATTCCATTACTAACTACATAACTATCCATGTGACCATGTCATGCACTTATTAATTCAGCCTATAACATAAACTTAGCTAACAGCTACTAGAAACATTTGATACCACTTAATATAAAATTATAAAATGTAACTAGGAAGAAAGAAATCCAAATTCATTTGCAGATACCTGCTTAATATCTTTGCAAGTCCAAGATTCACATTAAAAATGGAAGCATTCATACTTTTCTATACTCTGTGAGTTTTACATTTTTAAAATATTTTTGACATATTACTGTAATGAATTTTCCATTGGCATAGGATTATTGAGTAATGGGTTAAGGAGAATGGATTTAGCTCATCTGTTTGATGTCTGTTTGTCCATTTCTGATATGGTCATCTACTTACTGCCAGTATAAGGAAGACTTGAACATGCTTCCACTTTCTTTCTATGTCCCAAGGAGTTAAAATCCTTGAAAATCCTCTCTGTACCGACTAGCAGGTTCAGAAAGTCTAGTTCTATCTCAGTTAAATTTAGTGACTAAAGCTATCCCCCACCACAGCCTTCTCTGCTACACATCACTCCTAATTCACTGTCACCTACTGGACCAACCACTGATGTGCAGCCCCACATTCTCATTTCCATTCTTCCATATTCCTTTTTCCTAAGCTCTTTCACCAAGAAATCACTATGGTCCCATGCTCACTCCTTGCTTAAATT